CTCTGTGTGGTCTGTGGGTCTCTGTGTGATGAGTCTGTGGGTCTCTGTGTGGTCTGTGGGTGTCTGTGTGATGAGTCTGTGGGTCTCTGTGGGTCTCTGTGGGTCTCTGTGTGGTCTGTGGGTCTCTGTTTGATGAGTCTGTGGGTCTCTGTGGGTCTCTCTGGGTCTCTGTGTGGTCTGTGGGTGTCTGTGTGATGAGTCTGTGGGTCTCTGTGGGTCTCTATGGGTCTCTGTGTGGTCTGTGGGTCTCTGTGTGATGAGTCTGTGGGTCTCTGTGGGTCTCTCTGGGTCTCTGTGTGGTCTGTGGGTGTCTGTGTGATGAGTCTGTGGGTCTCTGTGGGTCTCTGTGGGTCTCTGTGTGGTCTGTGGGTGTCTGTGTGATGAGTCTGTGGGTCTCTGTGGGTCTCTGTGTGTCTCTGGGTGGTCTGTGGGTGTCTGTGTGATGAGTCTGTGGGTCTCTGTGTGGTCTGTGGGTGTCTGTGTGATGAGTCTGTGGGTCTCTGTGGGTCTCTGTGGGTGTCTGTGTGGTCTGTGGGTGTCTGTATGATGAGTCTGTGGGTCTCTGTCGGTCTCTGTGGGTCTCTGTGTGGTATGTGCGTCTCTGTGGTTGTTGTTGGTTGTTTGACTTGCATCCCACTGGGATTTTTGCACACAGCGTTGGTGTACGGTGTTTTTTTTCTGAAATATTTTGCTGTCTTTTCTTGGATTTTCTGTTTGCACTCAGTCACATAGTCACTTTAAAATGTTTTTTTGTTCATGTTTTTGTTTTTTGTTTGTTGCAGTTGCACCCGATTCAAGAGCCGAATGGCTCACAGGGCTACACCTAATAAATGAATGAATGAACTTTCCGCTGCTCATTGACATTCCAAGCACGCTACCTCGCAGCGCTCCTCTGCGCACTTTCAGTTTTTGATCCACACATATTGGTGGTGACACCCCCGTTAGCGGCAATACTCGTGTTCCCACTGTGTGTGTTTGTTTTAGATTAGTTCGCACCGTACAGAGCCAACTGTGCTAATCGGAGGCGCAGGGGAGAAGAACAAACTAAATAAACAAAAATCTAATTTTTTTATTTAAAGCTTTCGTGACTGCAGGGATTCATCTTCTTGGTTCTTTCGGTAAAGTCACGTAGAATGGAAATAATAAAATAATACAAGTTAAATATTATAAAATAATAACAGAGTCTGAATCATTCAGACGCTGTCTTTCCGACAGACCTGTTCTTCACCTGAGGACGGCTGCTTGCGTTGTGGCCGAAACGTCGTGACAATTATTTTATTATGTTTTATTTTTATTATTTTATTATTTCCCTTCTACGTGACTTTGCCGTAAGAACCAAGAAGTTGCGAGAACTTACTGCGCGGATGGTGGCTGCCCTGACGTCCCCTCTTCCTCCTCCTCTTCCAACTCCTCCTCCACCTCCTCCTCCTCCACAGCTCTCGCGCTTTCCTCCTCCCGCCTCCTCCTCGTCCGGAGCAGCGTCGACGTCTTCTCCTGCACGACATGCGGCTCTGCGGTGCCACCAAGAGAGACGTCACGTGGCAACGCTCGTGAGCAGAGCCGAGGCTCTGCTCCCTTCGGAGGTTCGATCCCGACCTCTAGGGCCAGATTAAGGTTATTCCAGATTTGAAGCTTTCGCGACTGCAAGGATTCATGCTCTTAATTTTTTTCGGTAAAGTCACGTAGGTAAAAAATGAAATTTAAATTAATAAAAATAAAATACAAATATAATGTAATAATATAATTTATTTTAATTAAATTTCTTACCTACGTGACTTTACCGAAGAAACTAAGAGTATTAAGGTCATTGTTAGGCCCTCTGCACTTCTGTTTCGTAGGCCTTCGGTGGTAATCCAACGGTCGGCGGTTCGAAAGGTTTTAATGAAGCCGCATTACGGGGCCTCTCATGTGAAGAGGGCGACTTGGAGGACAGGGGCTGTGTGCCGGCACAGCGGAGGGGCTGGGTTCGAATCCGGGTTCCAGGCGATGCCTGTGGTTAAACCGCGTTCTTTCATGCAAGGGGGTTGATGGTCTCAGCCTGGTCACCGGTGACTCACATTAGAGGCCCACAGACTCACATAGACACCCATGTATTCACATAGAGATACGTAGACTCACACAGAGACCCATAGACTCACGTAGAGACCCATAGACTCATGTAGAGATCCATAGACTCATAGAGATCCATCGACTCACACAGAGATCTATAGACTGACAGAGATCCACAGACTGGCACAGAGACCCATAGACTCATACAGAGATCCATAGACTCACAGAGACCCACAGACTCACATAGAGATCCATAGACTCACGTAGAGATCCATAGACTCATAGAGAACCATAGACTCACATAGACACCCATTTATTCACATAGAGATCCATAGACTCACAGAGATCCATAGACTCATACAGAGATCCATAGACTCACAGAGATCCACAGACTCACACAGAGATCCATAGACTCACACAGAGACCCATAGACTCACGTAGAGATCCATAGACTCACAGAGAGATCCATAGACTCACACAGAGACCCATAGACTCACGTAGAAATCCATACTCACAGAGATCCATAGACTCACACAGAGATCGATAGACTCACTAGAGACCCACAGACTCACATAGATACTACCCATAGACTCACATAGAGACCCATAGACTCACATAGTGATCCATAGACTCACATAGTGATCCACAGACTCACATAGAGACGCACAGACTCGCATAGACAGCATTGTCATTTAAACCAGGTTGTCAAGTGCAGGGAGTCGATTGTCTCAGCCTTGTCACCAACGACTCCATAAAAAAAAAAAACGTCAAATGAAAATGAGATTTCGCACTCCATTTGGCTACAAACTCAACTGTGAGAATTATAAACGTCTGGCGCTTCGACCGTCAGCGCAACAACAACAACAACAAAGTTCCTGAGACGCCGTGACCTCCGCCGGACGTAGGGGGGGATGGAGGGATAAAAGGTAAATGCCTCTGATAATTGTTTTTTTTACCCTTCCATCTGGCAACAAAACTGACACCTTTTTTTACAAGGAGTCATGTTTGCAGACCACAATACCTGCAGTCATAATGCAAAAAAAAAGAACTCTGATAATATATGCACTGTCCTTGAAGTTTTTTTTTCCCTTTTGTTGCCAGATAGAAGAGTTAAAAAAAACAATTATCATATTTTTTACTGGCAAATGAGGTTCCAATTGTGTAAATGCCTCTGTCAAGATTGTTGTTCACAACAAGTCCCACGCCATTTCTCTTCCACAAGCGAAGTGGGGCTAGGGATGGATGGGGCTGGGGATGGGTGGGTGAGTGGACGGGGCGGTGTGAGCGAGAGGGGCTCTCCACTCCTCTGGATCCTCTTCCTCGTGACGCGGCGGCGAACGCGGCATCTGGGCACTCGCCCCACGATCGGCGCGCAGTGACTCGCCCCTCAGTGTCACCCCAAGATCGGCGCGCAGTGACTCGCCCCTCAGTGCCACTGTGGGCGCCCTGCCCTCACAAATATCCCAATGGATTCCTATCCCTCGCGACACGGGGCGGCGACAATTAGGACGAGGATGGCCGTGCTAGGAGACCACGGCTAGAAGGCCACGGCCGGGCCAGGATGCCGTAGCCCGGCTAGGCCACGGCCAGGCTAGAAGGCCACGGCTGGCTTAGGCCGCCATGGCTGGGTTAGGCCCACAAGGCCGGGCTAGGATGCCATAGCCCGGCTAGGCCACGGCCAGGCTAGAAGGCCACAGCGGGCTAGGCCACCACGGCTGGGTTAGGCCCACAAGGCCGGGCTAGGAGGCCATGGCTGAGTTAGGCCACGGTCGGGCTAGGATGCCACTATGGGCTAGGCCACCACGGCCGGGTTAGAAGGCCACGGCCGGGCTAGAAGGCCACAGCCGGGCTAGAAGGCCACGGCTGAGCTAGGCCAAGGCCTGGTTAGGCGGTGACTCACCCGTCGCCTTGAGGTCCCTGGCGGTAGGGAGGGCATCGCAGGCCAAGAGCGCGAGCGTGGAGATGGCGGCCAGGTGGACAACAAACTCCTGAGCTTCGCTCGCCACGCATTCCTGCACAGTTGGAGTGGAGCCAAGGTCATGCTGGAGGCACCAACATATGTCTCTACGTATCTCTGTAACTCTGAGGATCTCTACGTAACTCTATGGATCTCTATGTAACTCTACGGATCTCTGTGTCACTCTATGGATCTCTGTGTAACTCTATGGATCTCTGTGTAACTCTGTGGATCTCAATGTAACTCTATGGATCTCTATGTAACTCTATGGATCTCTGTGTAACTCTATGGATCTCTCCGTAACTCTATGGATCTCTGTGCAACTCTATGGATCTCTGTGCAACTCTATGGATCTCTGTGTAACTCTTTGGATCTCTACGTAACTCTATGGATCTCTCCGTAACTCTATGGATCTCTGTGTAACTCTATGGATCTCTACGTAACTCTATGGATCTCCATAACTCTATGGATCTCTATGTAACTCTATGGATCTCTATGTAACTCTATGGATCTCTACGTAACTCTATGAATCTCTACGTAACTCTATGGATCTCTATGTACGTCTATGGATCTCTATGTAACTCTATGGATCTCGATGTAACTCTATGGATCTCTACGTAACTCTATGTATCTCTACGTAACTCTATGGATCTCTGCGTAACTCTATGGATATCTGCATAACTCTATGGATCTCTGCATAACTCTATGAATCTCTACGTAACTCTATGCAACTGCAACGACCCGTGACTGCTGCCAGTCTGAGTCGAATCACTTTCAACGACCCACAGGTACGTTTGTTTACCTTCCTTTGCACCGAACCGCGCTCATTGCAGGTACGGGGGAAGGACATCAAACTAAACACAGCAAGCAGTTCTAAAGAAATTAATTCGTCAATCGAGATGATTTAAAGGTGCGAAGCTCCAGTGGCTTCATAACATTGGAAGGGAAGAGCATTCCAGACGGCCGCAGAAATGTGCAAAGTTGCGTCTGCGAAAATACCCTCGGACTTGGACCGCCGTCAAAATCAGTGTGAGCACGCGACATCGACCGATAGACAGCAGCGATAGGCAACCGTGGACCGGTTTTGTGCTTATCTGGACTCATCAGCGCTCAGCCAGCATTGGTGACCATGCCGTGCTGATGAGCGCTCACGAGAACGAAAACCGGCACTAGGCTGTCTACCTCTGCATCGCCGCTGACGTCCATATGTGCGACACGTGCTCACGGTTGTTATCATTGCTGTTGTTCTTCTTGGTTCTTTCGGTAAAGTCATCACGTAGAATGGAAATAATAAAATAATACAAATAAAACATATAAAATAATTCTCACGCCGTTTCAGCCACAACGCAAGCAGCCGTCCTCAGGTGGAGAGCAGGTCTGTCGGAAAGACAGCGTCTGAATGAACACCACCAGGCTTGGCTATGGGCAGTGTTGAGTCTATGGGCAGTGTTGAGTCTATGGGTAGTGTTGAGTCTATGGGTAGTTTTATTTAGATTTAAAGCTTTCGTGACTGCAGGAATTCATCTTCTTCAGACTGTCTACTCGACAGACCTGCTCTTCACCTGAGGACGGCTGCTTGCGTTGTGGCCGAAACGTCGTGAAAATTATTTTATTATGTTTTATTTTTATTATTGTATTATTTCCATTCTAAAGCGAAATTTAATTGCTGTTGTTACGACAGTGACCTCTGACTAGCGGACCGCAAGGACGTGTGTTCATTTGCCATTCCCATTTGTTCAGGAAACGCCGTGGATGTTTTTTTTTTGTTTTACACGAAGCAACAGAGGCTGGGTGAATTTAACAAGAAACTATTTTTAGAACATCATTTGTAATGGCCAGGTCGCTTCTCAAAAAACACATTCAGAGTTATATACATTTCCACTTAAATTTCGATTTAAAGCTTTCGTGACTGCAGGGATTCATCTTCTTGGTTCTTTCGGTAAAGTCACGTAGAAGGAAAGTAATAAAATAATAAAAATAAAACATAATAAAATAAATTCTCACGACGTTTCGGCCACAACGGCTGCTTGTGTTGTGTGGCCGAAACGTCGTGAGAATTGTATTTGATTATGTTTTATTTTTATTATTTTATTATTTCCATTCTACGTGACCTTACCGAAAGAACCAAGAAGACATTTCCACGTATTATTGATGATGATGATGATAAGACACTTCGTTGAGTTATCATTTGTGATGGCCGGGTCGCTTCTGAAAAATTGCTTCATCGCTCAGTGTGGGCCTTAGACCTGGTACAATACGAAAAAAAAGTTTCCGTTTTTTTTTTACTTCATTGCGTAGAAAGTAAAAGTTCAAGTTAATTTTGTTTTTCATGACAACGATAATTTTCACGACGTCAGCTTGTTAGGCAATTCGGTGTTTTCCCTTCACTCTCCCAGTGAATGGAACGATTCAAGGAGGGCAGGAAGGCAGCGGCCTGGAGACGACCCCGGGTGCTTGCCAACAGTTTAGTTTTAGTCTTTGATTTTTGTTTAATTCTTTAATTAACAAAAATATACAAAAATACAAAATTAACTATTTTTTTAAATAATAATATACAAAAAATATTCATCTTCTTGGTTCTTTCGGTAAAGTCACGTAGAAGGGAAATCATATTTTGGTTCTTTCGGTAAAGTCACGTAGAAGGGAAATCATATTTTATTATTCCCTTCTACGTGACTTTCGGTAAAGTCACGTGGAAGGGAAATAATAAAATATTATAATAAAATATTATTTCTCTTCTACATGACTTTACCGAAAGAACCAAGAGAAATAATATTATTTCCCTTCTACGTGACTTTACCGAAAGAACCAAGAAGATAAATCCCTGCAGTCACGAAAGCTTTAAATCGAAACAAAAAATATTATTCGTAAATATTTTTTTAAATTTGAAAATGTATTTTTTTGCGCTCCCCGCTGCCACAGTTCAAACCCCCTTAGGAAGAAAAATAAAATAAAAAAATTTAAAACAACAACACGGCGACACAAAACGCGCCCTTGCCTGCAGCGCGTCGCAGTGCCGGCAGATTCCCTCCCGGTGAGCGGCCTGCCTCTCCGCCTCGTCGTCGCGAACGCCGCCCAGCTGCGCCGCGTTGTCCGGGTGGCCCAGCGCCGGGCGCAAGCGTCCCGCGTTCTCACGCTGCGCGGAGAGGGGGGGGCGGGGGACACGGGCGGGCAGCGCCGGTCGCGGTCGGCGATTGCTACGCAGTCTGCCCCGGCCAGAGGTCGTCGCTCGCCCCTTCGCACAGCCGCTCGTAACGTACGCTCACTCAGTGGCTCCATCACTCACTCAGTGGCTCCATCACTCACTCAGTGGCTCCATCACTCACTCAGTGGCTCCATCACTCACTCAGTGGCTCCACTGCTCACTCAGTGGATCCACCGCTCACTCAGTGGCTCCATCACTCACTCAGTGGCTCCACCGCTCACTCAGTGGCTCCACCGCTCACTCAGTGGCTCCATCGCTCACTCAGTGGCTCCATCACTCACTCAGTGGCTCCATCACTCACTCAGTGGCTCCATCACTCACTCAGTGGCTCCATCGCTCACTCAGTGGCTCCATTACTCACTCAGTGGCTCCATCACTCACTCAGTGGCTCCACCGCTCACTCAATGGCTCCATCACTCACTCAGTGGCTCCATCACTCACTCAGTGGCTCCATCGCTCACTCAGTGGCTCCACCGCTCACTCAGTGGCTCCATCACTCACTCAGTGGCTCCATCACTCAGTGGCTCCATCACTCACTCAGTGGCTCCATCGCTCACTCAGTGGCTCCATCACTCACTCAGTGGCTCCATCACTCACTCAGTGGCTCCACCGCTCACTCAGTGGCTCCATCACTCACTCAGTGGCTCCATCACTCACTCAGTGGCTCCATCACTTAGTGGCTCCATCACTCACTCAGTGGCTCCATCGCTCACTCGATGGCTCCATCGCTCACTCGATGGCTCCATCGCTCACTCAGTGGCTCCATCGCTCGTTCACTCTCTCGCCCACTCGCTCGATCGCTGACTCAATCGCCGACTCAGTCGCTCACTCAATCACTGAATCACTCACACAGAAGGGTGACTAAGTCGCTCTCTCATCCACTCAGTCACTTTGTTACTCACTCACTCATTCACTCGCTCACTCACTCACTCGCTCAATTACTCACTGACACAGTGTCTCACTCAGTCGCTCGCGTGACTACTTATTGACTCACGCACTCACTCGGACACCCGTCCTAGCGGTGGATACAGAACGTCTCACCTTTTTGCACTCCAACTCATCGAGCTCCCGTTCCATCGCGCTCCTCAGCGCTTCCAGGGATTGGCTCAGCCGGGTCAGGTGGCTCCGCAAGATCTCTCCGATTCTCTGCTCGGGGATGTCAGCACTGAGGATCTCCAGGTCAGTGAGCTGCTGGCGGAAATCTGCAAGTAAAAAGGAAAAGAGATGATAAAAAATAAAAAAATAACCCATAAAAACAAAGTTTTTCACTATAAATCCTTTATATGCGTGGCGGCTAGAGTCCTCTCGTCCTCTGGCTTGAGATGGCTGCCACCTATGGGTCAGATGATTGCCTGCCACCATTAAGCAATTGGTAATTAAATAGATTTTTTTTTCCTAAAAAGTGTAAAGTTATGGAAAAAAAATTTCACGAAAATAAATTGTCACGCACAACGAGTCTGTGTGCAAAATGTCAGCTCGATTGGATCACGGGAAGTGGGTTAAAAAACGACCGAAAGATTTGCACGGTCGTAAGCGCGCAAGCAAGTGAACTTAAAATAAAGGATTTAAAAATATAAGCACCATCACGAGACATGCCAGGGTTAGATTTAACAACGTAAAATGTGTACCGTTTAACACGTAGCAGGCTTTCGCGACCAATATTATTCATAATAAAGGTTTTTGGGTCAGATCGCGTTATTTATAAATGTGTCGTAACCCTCCACCACCCGACACGGCCAATCAGTAAAAAATGTGTCACGTTTTCAAAGGACAAAATAATTCACTTCTTTAGCCCACCGGTGTGCTGAAGAGAGAATCAACAGCATTTTAAAATGTGAGTAGCACGACGTTTCGCTGATAATTACAATCAGCTTCATCGGGCAAGAATGGTGAAGCTCTCCTGTTGCTTCCGTTCTTTTCGCGCTTGGGCTACATTTTTAATTACAGAGTTTTATTTTCATTGATATGTTGTTTAAAAGTTGTTATTTCCCATTCGTAGCAGTTTACATCAACTCTATAACCAACTTATATTAAACGGGAACAGGGCGATTCTAAATGAATCTACAACCTTCGATTTCTTTGCGCGATTCAGAGAGTCGATTCTTGGCGCGGTCGGTTTTACATTTTAAATTACACAGTTGTATTTTCATTGGTATGTTATGTTTTAAAGTTTTCAGATGATTTTAAATGTATTTTCCCCCCGGGCAACGCTGGGTATATCGAGTTTATAGCACAAAGTCGTCGCCTGACAAGTGTGGGGTGTCGAGGCCTAGTACCGTGCAGAGCCTCCGGCCTCGCCTAGATTGCCCACCCGGCCGAGGCTGGGTGCTGTGGCCGTTCCCCCCCCCCCCCGCGCTACAATAATACTGTCTAATCGCTATAATTTTATTATCTACCGACCCTATGATAGTAATTGCACACATTGGGGTGGGGGGGGAGTGAAGAGGACGTGAAACTTTCATGAATTTACCTCAGCGTTGCGTGTTAATGCGTGCGCATATTTTTTACGGGAATTAAAAATGGCGTCCACCCCACAGCGACGGCGTTGCTGCCCTTTGCCAGGGGCCAGCCGCCCGTTGCCAGGGGCCAACCGCCCGTTGTCAGGGGCAACCGCCTTCCCGCATGCCACGTGCCGGTCGGCAATAGTAAATAAATAAATAAAGAGAAATCGCACTAAATCGATAATCGGTCCGATTTAAAGTTTAGATACGAAAAATTGTAAATGCCTAAGTTCACCGCGGGGCCGGGGGTGTGCCCACCGGCAAATTTAATCTCGGCGAACCCCACGGTCCGAGAGCTAAATCCCCCGGAAGCGAGCGTACGCAGACGGACGGACAGACAGACAAACAGACAAAAAATTTATTATATAGGTTAGATGTGTCGTTAAACCCGCCACCCCCCCCCCCCCCCGCCAATTGTAAGGTTTTGTGTCGCGTAAACACAAACGTGCCAATCAGTCACACTAGTTCAGCACTCACCGCTTGTGTGTTGGAGAGATAAACCCACCGCAACATTTATCCCTCCGCCGCCTTCACTCCTTCCCATCCGCTCCATCCCCTTTTCGTTGTTGGTTAGCACCCCGTGAACGATTGTTTAAGGGAACTTAATAAATTTTTATAACTATTATTCATAATACAGGGGGGGGTTTTGGGTTACGGTGGCGGTGGTAGCGGTGGTGATGTCGGTGATGGTGGTGGTGGCGGTGGTAGCGGTGGTGGTGGTAGCGTTGATGGTGGTGGTGGTAGCGGTGGTGATGGTGGTGGCGGTGATGGTGGTGGTGATGGTGCTGGCGGTGGTGATGGTGGTGGCGGCAGTGGCGGTGGTAGCGGTGGTGATGTCGGTGATGGTGGTGGTAGCGTTGATGGTGGCAGTGGTAGTGGTGGTGATGATGGTGGTGGTGATGGCGGTGATGGTAGTGTTGGCGCCCTCACCTGCGACGCAGTGCTGCCGGTAGGTGCGGGCCTGGCACCGGTACGCGACCAGCTTCAGCGCCAGACCATCGGCGCACCGCTCGGCGCTCTCCGGCAGCAGCGCCACGGGCCGCGGGATTCCGCCGCGCCGATCCTTGCGCTTGTAGAGGCCATAGTAGTCCTGAGCACCACCGGCGGTGGCGGTGGCGGTGACGGTGGCGGTGACGGTGGCGGTGACGGTGGCGGTGACGGTGATGGTGGCGGTGACGGTGGCGGTGACGGTGGCAGTGACAGTGACGGTGACGGTGGTGGTGACGGTGGTGACAACGCAAGCGCAGAAGCAGAAACGGGAACAGGGTGGGGACGTGTGGGGGGGGGCGACCGAACGAAAGGTCACGGGGGCAGGGGCCGTTCGGCACCATGTCCCACACTCTTAGGTTTTTTCGGTAAAGTCACGTAGGTAAAAAATTAAAAATACAATTAAAATTAATAAACGTAAAATTAAAATCACCATGTTTCGGAGGCAACAAAAGTTTCCGTCTTCAGGTGGAACCATCACAGCACGATTGCTGTATCAAGTAAAAGAGAAATTCCAAGAGACCCGACCTTGTATATATACTGGTTGAGGGGGGGAGGAGCCAGGGTAGGCCCCTGGATAGGAGTTTTTCTAAATCCTTTATATTAAGTTCACTTGCTTGCTTGCGCGCTTGCGCGCTTGCTTGCTTGCTTGCGCGCTTACGATCGTACAAATCTTTCGGTCGTTTTTTAACCAACTTCCCGTGATCCAATCGAGCTGACATTTTGCACACAGACTCGTGAAATTTTTTTTCCTCTTTTTAGGAAAAAATAAATGATATTTAATTACCAATTGCTTAATGGTGGCAGGCAATCATCTGACCCATAGGTGGCAGCCATCTCAAGCCAGAGGACGAGAGGACTCTAGCCGCCACGCATATAAAGGATTTATATTGAAAAACTTTGTTTTTACGGGTTAATTTTTTTATGATAAGGTTGGTTTTTATTCTACTTTTATTAATTTTCATTAAATCTTTCATTTTTTACCTACGTGACTTTACCGAAAAAACCTAAGAGTATGAATCCTTGCAGTCACGAAAGCTTCAAATCTAGAACTATGTCCCACGTTTCGATCTGCGTGCCCTAACTCAGGAACTGACCAGGCGAGGTCTGTTCCTGGCTGACTGGACGCCGATTCCGCGTGCAAACTGGACTTCGTTTCGCGCCGTACGTAGCCAGCCACGCCGATTGGAGGTGCAGGATTATCCGACGTCGCGCCCGACGAAAACAGTCCGACGTTCCTACGGCGGCAGCCAGGATGGTGCGGTGGCGCACGAGCTAGTTAGCTCGGCGACCTGCGTTTGATTCCCGACCACGGCTAACATCGGCCCGCGCCCACCAGTGCGACGTGGTATGGTCAAACAGCTCCCGTGCGGAGTCCTTCGTCCAGCAGTGGATTTGTAATAAAGGTCGTTGAAGCGACTTCTGGAATCCGGTCTTTATTCGCTTTTCATTACAGCACTCCTTCACGCTGCTGATAGGCAGCGTGAGAGGGATAGAGAGAGAGACGCGCAGCCACGTGGCAGCCTGAACCACGCGGCAGCCTGGACCACGCGGCAGCCTGAACCACGTGGCAGCCTGGACCACGTGGCAACTTGGACCCCCGCTCTCGCGTGGCCTCCTCCTCCGTTCGTTCCAGTTCTGACCACGTGTTGTTCGTCTCCACCCCTATTTAATACCCGGGTCACGTGGTACGTTTCCACCAATCCTGGTTAGCCTCTATGGAATCTTCCAGATTCCATCGTAGGCTCCCGGGACCACGCCCCTGACTCGTCCCCCCATTGGCTGTGGCCAAAGCCAGCAGATCCAATCCTCTACTTGCAGCTGTCACCTTGCCGTCACGTCAGGGCCACGCCCCTAGGCTTCCCCCCATTGGCTATGGACCAGGACCGGCAGAGCCAATCATCGTGACGAGTTGTGATACGTCAGTGACCCGGATATATCCTCACATTACAGATTGACCAAGGACTATAATTGCTCAGGTTTCCTCCCCACATGTAAACACTCATTCATCAATTGGCCCAAAGGAAGCCTTAATACGTAGAGGACTGCAGAGCTTGGGAAATTGTTGATTAGCACCGGCTCACACCGATTGTAAAATTATCACCATTGGAACCTCATTTGCCAGTAAAAATTATGATAATTGGTTTTTTACCCTTCTATCTGGCAACAAAACTGACACATTTTTTTTCCAAGGAGTCGTGTTACATAGACCACAATACCTGCAGTCATAATGCAAACAAAGAGTTATGTCTTTTGTGTGTATTATGACTGCAGGTATTGCGGTCTATGCAAACATGACTCCTTGTAAAAAGGTGTCAGTTTTGTTGCCAGATAGAAGGGTAAAATAACAATTATCATGTAAAATTATCATCATCATCATTATTCTGGGTTGAGACCGGTCGCTCCACCCAAGCCTCCCACCCATGTCACGTGGCAAAGCTGTTACCTCGATAGCTGTGCGAAGTGGGTCGTACGTCTCCCAGAGTATCTGATCGATCTTGCCCTCGAAGTGGCTGAGAGAGGGAGGGAGGAGAGGGAGGAGAGGGGGAAGAGGGAGGGGGGGAGAGGAAGGGAGAGGGGGGAGGAGAGGGGGGAGAGGGAGGGAGAGGGGGGAGGAGAGGGGGGAGAGGGAGGGAGAGGGGGGAGGAGAGGGGGGAGAGGGAGGGAGAGGGGGGAGGAGAGGGAGGGAGGAGAGGGAGGGGGCAGAGGGAGGAGAGGGAGGAGAGGGGGGGAGGAGAGGGGGGGAGAGGGAGGGGGGAGAGGGAGGGGGCAGAGGGAGGAGAGGGAGGAGAGGGGGGGAGGAGAGGGGGGGAGAGGGAGGAGAGGGGGGGAGGAGAGGGGGGGAGAAGGAGGGGGGAGAGGGAGGGGGGAGAGGGAGGAGAGGGAGGGGGGAGAGGGGGGGAGAAGAGGGGGGGAGGAGAGGGGGGGGAGAGGGAGGGAGGAGAGGGAGGAGAGGGAGGGGGGAGAGGGGGGAGAGGGGGGAGAGGGGGGAGAGGGAGGAGAGGGAGGGAGGAGAGGGAGGGAGGGTCACAACGCGTCAGCTGCTGACGACTCAAATCCAGACGACCCACAATTCAACCCGGTTCGACTCCCGACTCGGGTACCTTTCTGTGTGTGAGTGTGTGTGTGAGTGTGTGTGTGAGTGTGTGTGAGTGTGTGTGAGTGTGTGAGTGAGTGTGTGAGTGTGTGTGAGTGTGTGTGAGTGTGTGTGAGTGTGTGTGAGTGTGTGTGAGAGTGTGTGAGAGTGTGTGTAGGTGTGTGTGTGAGTGTGTGTGAGTGTGTGTGTGTAGGGGTGTGTGAGTGTGTGTGAGTGTGTGTGAGTGTGTGTGAGTGTGTGTGTGTGAGTGTGTGAGTGTGTGTGGATACTTTGGGCTCGCCTTCCCATCAACCAGAGGCGAGGAGTGGTGGTCGTGGTTACTTATGCCCCCACCGAAGATGAACATCCGTGGAGGGATGCAGGCAAAGCCGATGAGTCAGACGCTTTCTATGACCTCCTGTCACAGGTGCTGGCTAAAGTGGCCACTCGGGACAGAGTCATTTTGTTGGGTGACTTCAATGCCCGAGTTGGTCATGATGCTGGCACCTGGTCTGGAGTGATTGGAAGGCATGGGCCAGATCAGCTCAATAATAATGGTAGGAGGCTGCTAGATTTTTGTGCAGCCCATGGGCTTGTAATTACCAACACGCTCTTCCGGCATCGGCGCATCCACACAACATCATGGATACATGCCGGGTCCAAGCAAGAACATCTGCTGGACTACATAGTGACGGACCAGCGGATGCGAGCCCATGTCCTTGACACCAGGACCTACCGTGGAGCTGATCTGTCCTCTGACCATCGACTAGTCATCTGTAAGATGCGCCTGCCTTTCTTCCACTCCGGTGGTGGGTGTACAACCAGGATCCCATTCCAACCAAAAGTGGCCTGGTCTCAGTTAGCTGATAAAAGTTGCAAGCGAGAATTTCATCATCGCTTGCAGCTGGGGTTGGCATCGTCCCCCACTCCACCTGATGTCGAGGGGAAATGGGCGAGGTTTAAGACTGTGACTCATGCAGCTGCAATGGCTGCTTTGGGTACGCGGTCCAGACCTCCCCAGAAACCCTGGCTGACAGAGGAGGTGTTCAGGTTAATTGAGAAAAAGCGACAGGCCCACTCTCATCGCCTACAGCATCCCACGTCAGAGAATGAGGAGGTTTACCGCAGCCTTCGCTCGGAAGTTCGGAGAGCCGTAAGGCGCTGTAAGGATGGGTGGTGGTCGCGGGTTGCTGAGGAGATGGAGTCTGCCTCAGTGGCCCGTGATCACAAATCACTATTTAACTCCATCAAAAAAGTAACCTGCAGCGCCACACCTATTACCATCATTAGAGGAAAAAACGGTGATCCAATCTCCGACCCCCAGGAACAGGTTTGCAGATTTGCTGAGCATTTCTGTGAGGTCCTGGGGGAGGGAAACTCTCTCAGCCAGGAAAACATCATGGCAAAAAGTGGTGATAACCCTGCTGAGGCTGCGGTGCCTCAAATATTGGAAGAGGTCACCCCCTGTGAGTGGCTGGCTGAGGTGCCAGCTGTTGAGGAAGTACTGAGGGCGATCCGGAGTCTGAGACCAGGGAAGGCACCGGGCAGAGATGATCTCCCAAGCGAAATGCTGAGGGAGGGTGGCGTTTGTGCACAGACTGCCCTATATGACATCATAACAACAGTCTGGACCACTGGACGGGTTCCGCAGGACTGGAAGGATGCCCTGGTGGTCCCCCTCTTTAAGAAGGGGGACCGTACCGACTGTAACAACTACAGGGGCATCTCACTCCTCAGTGTGCCGGGTAAGGTCCTGGCAAGGATTATTCAACATCGCCTTGCTAGGCACGCTGAGGAGGGGCTTGCGGAGCCCCAATGCGGTTTCAGGAAAGGGCGGTCCTGCACAGATGCCATATTTTCTGTCCGTCTGCTACAGCAGAGGTGTAGGGAATTCCAAAAAGACCTACATCTCTGCTTTATTGACCTGGTCAAGGCCTATGATACCATCAGTAGGACTGGGCTCTGGGTTGTTCTTCGTGCTTTCGGAGTCCCTGACCCTCTGCTCATGATCATTAAGGACCTTCATGATGGTGAGCGGGCCCGGGTAAAACTACGTGGCCGGGAGTCGGAGCCTTTCCCTGTACACCTTGGGGTGCGACAGGGATGTCCTCTGGCTCCCACATTATTTAACATCTATTTTGACAGCGTAGTTCGTGAAGCCTTCAATAGCTGTACCGGGGGAATTTCCATTTGGTACAGATATAATGGGAGGCTGATCGATGCCCGGGTGCGATCAAGGGATGGCTCCCTATTGGTCAACCACGTTATGTATGCCGATGATTTGGTAATAGCTGCTCATTCAGAAGAGGAGTTGGAGACGCTGCTGCTGAGACTGGAGCGTGCCACTAAGAGGTGGGGCCTTACCATCAGCCCCACCAAAACTAAGCACCTGCCTGGGTATTTTGTACCATCGGACACTCCACCCCCACAACTCCCAATTGGTGATGGGGCAGTTGTGGAGAGAGTGGAGAGTTTCCCATACCTGGGCAGTGTGCTTATGACCGGCTCCAGTTTATCAGCAGAGGTCTCACTCCGAATCAGTCGAGCGGCAATATATTTTCATCGGTTGCGTAACGCTGTGTGGAAGCTACCTGGTCTGTCGCTCCGCACGAAGCTTCAGGTCTTCTCGGCCACGGTCATTCCCTCCCTTCTCTACGCTTGCGAGACGTGGACCCCCCTGGTGGAGCATCTTCGCCGGTTGGAAACATTTAGGCTGGCCTGCCTACGATCCATCCTGGGTTTAACCAGGCTGGATTGTGTGAGGAGCTCACAAATCCTTGAAAGATCTGGGCAAAGTCCCATCAGTGAGCTCCTCCGGCAGGCAAGGCTGCGTTGGCTGGGTCATGTAGCCCGCATGCCCAGCCACCGCATGCCTAAACAGCTTTTGTTCGGCCGGATCGAGGGGGCTAGACGGGCGCGGCACGGGCTGGAGAAGAGATGGAGTGATGTGGTACAGGAGGACGTGGAGCTGAGTGGACTTGCCGATGACTGGTACCAGCGGTGTCAAGATCGGCCTCAGTGGAGGAGGCTCATGAAGGACGCTACTGGGCAATTGGAGGCAGTCGCCCTCCAACAACAACGGAGGGCGGAGGAGCGACGCTCACAACAACGAGCGGAGCGCCGGGTGGCTAAAGCACAACAAGTTGGCACAGTAGGGGGCACAGGTAGTGCATCAGCCAGTCATCTCGGTCATCTCGGTCAGTCGACCCGTGGCACCTGGGTCTGCCCCGTGACCTCCTGCCAGCGGGCTTTCGACACTTCACGTGGCCTCAAGGTGCACTTGGCCTGGCACAAGCATCGTGGTGACGTCACCGCCACTTAGTGGCGAATGGCGGTTGTTGTTGTTGTTGTGTGAGTGTATGGGGAGCGGTAGTGTAGCGGTTAGCGCGACGCTGCACTACGAACCTGGCCACCCGGGTTCGATTCCTGCTCACGGCAAACACCGGTGACGATTATCTGAACCGGTCCTGGGCCTCCCCTAGGTCGACTCAGCCTCAAATGAGTACGTGGTGCAATGTGTAAACATCGTCACTAGGGAGACAAAGGCGGCCGGGTGTGGTGCTGCCCACCCACCCCCTCGTGTGCCGTGCCGGCCTTCATAGCCGCTCGCTCACAGGTGAGGCTCTGCCTCCCCTGCCTCCCCTGCCTCCCCTGCCTCCCCTGACCGCACGTCCCTTGTTCAGAGCGCAGTGCGCCAACCGCTGTGCCACCGCTCCACCGTCTGTGATGTCGCGACGAGAGCCGGGGGCGTTGTACCTGACGTCCGTCGGCTTCTCGATGGCCGCTTGCTGTTGCTGCTTCGACCTGCGAGATGCACTGGCGTGAAATGAGACGCACAGTAAACCCCAGCGTCACCGTCATCACCAGCATTACCATCATCACCATCATCATTATCATCATCACCGTCATCATCACCGTCATCACCACCGTCATCATCACCGTCATCATCATCGTAACATCATCATCACTATCATCATCATCGTAACATCATCATCACTATCATCATCGCCACCATTATCATCATCACCAACACCATCACCACCATCATCATCATCCCCATCATGATTACCATCATCATGATCATCATCACCACCATCATCATCACCACCATAATCATCACCATCACCACTACCACCATCATCATCCCCATCATCATCACGATCATCATCACGATCATCATCAACACCATCATCACCACCATAATCATCACCATCATCATCATTATTACCATCATCACGATCATCATCACCATCATCAAGACCATCATCACCGTAATCATCGTTGTTATCACCACTACCGCCATGAGCATCATCGCCGTCGTTATTTTATTCAGCCAGAAATGCAGGCAGCATCAAGAAGGGGGGGAAGGGTTTTAATTCTCCATTTCCCCTTGCGTCTCCCTTGGAGACGCTCAAAGCATCTGAAATAAACTTGCGGCGAGGAAAAAAAAAGAGACCAAAAAGAGAGACAAAGATAGACCAAAAAAATATAAAGAAAGAGACAAAAAATCTAAAATGATGTTTCAAAAAAATAGACAAAAAAATCGAAGAGGCAATTTTTTTTCTAAAAATAGATTAAAAAAATAGACTTTTTCTTTTACAAAAAATAAACAAAAAAGAGACAAAAAAGAAACAAATTGACGAAAATTGTATCCAAATAGACAAAAAATACATTTGATAAAACAGACAAAAAAATTACAAAAAAAGACAAAAAAATACATATAAAAATTTATTTAAAAAAATAGAAAAAAGAGAAAAAATGGGATCGCCAGTTAAACGAATGGTCTCGCGGTTCTCCCCGAGCCCCCCCCCCCCCTCCCTGACCTTCCAGACGAGGTTCGCTGTCCAGACGCCGGGCGTGCCGGCCTGCTCCTGGCGTGTCGAGCGCCGCTGGCTCCGGGTGCCGTGACGCTGCCCTGCAGGGCCGCGGGACTCCCCGGGGTGGCGCGTCGTGACGGAGCTGCGGCGGGGGGGGGAGGGGAGGGGGCACGGGCAGCGGTGGTGAGACGCTGCACTGCCTCGCCCGGGGCGCGGGAGGGTCGCGGGTTCGAGCCTGACCCTGGCGGGGTTGCCTCGTGCGCCGTGCCGGCCTTCATAGGCGCAACGAGCTAACAGCAAATTTCGATTTAAAGCTTTCGTGACTGCAGGAATTCATCTTCTTGGTTCTTTCGGTAAAGTCAGGTAGAATGGAAGTAATAAAATAATAAAAATAAAACATAATAAAATAATTCTCACGACGTTTCGGCCACAACGCAAGCAGCCGTCCTCAGGTGAAGAACATGTCTGTCGATAAGACAGAGTCTAAATGACACGTCATTTAGACTCTGTCTTATCGACAGACATGTTCTTGCGTTGTGGCCGAAACGTCGTGAGAATTATTTTATGATGTTTTATTTTTATTATTTTATTATTTCCCTTCTACGTGACTTTACCGAAAGAACCAAGAAGATGAGCTAACAGCACTTTAAGTTCAAGTTCATATATTAGGTGTAGCCCTGTGAGCCATTCGGATCTTGAATCGGGTGCAGCCGCAACAAACCAAAAACAAAAACATGAACAAAAAAAACATCATAAAGTGAATATGTGACTGAGTGCAAACAGGATATCCAAGAAAAGACAGCAAAATATTGCAGAAAAATCACCGTACACCAACGCTGTGTGCAAAAATCCCAGTGGGATGCAAGTCAAACAACCAACAACAACCACAAGACAACTTAGATTAAGACCATCAGTCTAACTCTGTACTACAACAAACAAACATGGCCAAACCAATACACTTTTCGAAAGTCACCAAAATAAAGCCATGAAAGCAATGAAAAAGCAATCATAGGAACTGACGGAATTTTCACAATAAACGGCATAAACAACATGTACTACCAAAACCCTGCAACCATAGCTGGCTGCATGAGTCACTCCACAACAGTAGGAGCATCAATCGGAGTATTATAATTTTTCAATGCCCCAACAGCCTGTAGAATTCACGTACGTTGAAAACTTATTTCGCACCGTACGTAGCCAAGCGTGTTAATCGGAGGGGCGGAAATATTGATTTGGAGTTTGCGGTGTGTCTCTCTCTCTCTCTCGCTCTCCCCGTGGTCACGTGGATTTTTCTCCGGGCGCTCCGGTTTTTCCCCTCCGCATTGAGAATCAACGTCACCGCGCGTTTAGAGGATTTCGTCCGAATAGCATCCAGTAACGCTGTACATGCATTATATACAAGGACCTAATCCCATATACAGCCACTATCAAGCAAAGGAAAACCACCCTGACGCTGTCTCCCCGACAGACCTGGTTTTCACCTGAGGACGGCTGCTTGCGTTGTGGCCGAAACGTCGTGAGAATTATGTTTATTATGTTTTATTTTTATTATTTTATTACTTCCCTTCTACGTGACTTTACCGAAAGAACCAAGAAGACGATCACACTTCGTGAAGTAAAATAACCCAAAAAACCTCAATTATGAATAAAATGCCGCCCCCCTTCATGGATTCCTCCGACAACGGGAGGGGACCACTCACGGCGTCGCTCGGCACCCGTGGCTGTCGACTGGCAGTCCTCGATCATCTCGGCTTCGCGTTTCGGCAGGGCCCGGGCCCTCTGAGTCCTGCGGGGTGAGGAGGGGGGGGCGGGGGAAGAACGACGTGGCGCTCGGCATTGGCACCGAGGCGGCGGTCACCGACCGATTTGGACAGCGCCGGGGACACTGGCCACACCGCCGCCACCGTCCGGCACCGTCCGGCTATCAGATCTAGCATCCTAGGCCTCCGTCCAAAGCCCGAGTCGTTCGTGAAGACGACAAATAAACTTTCCAAAAACGGTGACGTTTTGAGATTCCCAAACCCTGCCCCATGCCCCCCGACCTCCCCCTCCCGCTAGGGGTCAGGGGTCGGCAACCCGCGGCTCTGGAGCGGCAACGCGGCTCTCCGAGGAACCGCTTTGTGAGACGTCCTTTGTGTATTTATCAAGGACCCACCGCCGCGCTCTCGTGCGTTGCTGCGCCTCTTGAAATGTCAATACGTCGCTCGGTGTCGTTGCTGTTGTACCAATTTAAAAACTACATTAACAACAAAAAATTTCGATTTTAAGCTTTCGTGACTGCAGGGATTCATTTTCTTGGTTCTTTCGGTAAAGTCATATAGAATGGAAATAATAAAATAATACAATAATAAAAATAAAACATTATAACATAATTCTCACGACGTTTCGGCCACAACGCAAGCAGCCGTCCTCAGGTGTAGACCAGGTCTGTCGAGAAGACAGAGTGTTTCATTCAGACTCTGCCTTCTCGACAGACCTGTTCTTCACCTGAGGACGGCTGCTTGCGTTGTGGCCGAAACGTCGTGAGAATTATGTTATGTTTTATTTTTATTATTTTATTATCTCCCCTTGATAGTTTGGTGGTTGCCGACTCCCCCTTCCCGGTCTAGACCCCCACTATAATAAAATCACGACGTTTCGGAGGCAACACAAGTCTCCGTCATCAGGTGGGACCATCACAGCCAGATTTGCTGCATCATCAAGTGAGGCAGGGATTCCAAGATGCAAGTTCTTAAATACAAGTTAATTAATTTTAATATCATTTTTTACCTACGTGACTTTACCGAAAAAAACTAAATAAAATGCATTTTTTTTATTTTATTTTTATTTTTAATAATTTAAATGAAATTTTATACCTACGTGACTTTACCGAAAAAACTAAATAAAATGAATTTTTTTTATAATTTAAATTAATTTTTTTACCTACGTGACTTTACCGAAAAAACTAAATAAAATGAATTTTTATTAATTTTAATTTCATTTTTTACCTACGTGACTTTACCGAAAGAACTAAGAGTATGAATCCTTGCAGTCACGAAAGCTTCAAATCTAGACCCTCCACTCATTACTCACCGCAGGATGCGTCGGATGGTGGCGATGGCCGGGTCGTTGGCCGCCTGCCGCATTGCGCGACCGGACGGGGCCCATGACCCGGGGCCCATGAAGCCCACGCGGCTGTCCGGCTTCTGAGACGCGGCGGTCGCGACGGCGGTCGTGGTCGCTCTGGGGCCCAGCGATTCAGCGTCTCCCTCCGCTCCGTCTGCCGCGTGATGCGCAGCCTGTGTAGTGACATAAGAGGGGAGGGGCTGCTGGGGGCTCTGGGACCCTAGGCAACCCAGACGCTTAAGCCCCTTGGCACCAGGCGCTGGGAACCCTAGGCATATCTGGGGGCAGACACAACCCCACCCCTCGTTGGGGACCAGGCATAAAGGGCAGCTCCCTGGCCGATCAGGGCCAGTTGTAGCTCAAGACCCAAGACCCAAGACCAGCCATCTCAGGACCCTGGGACGCTGTGAGGGCCAGTGGTGGGACTCTGGAACTCCCGACTCTACGTCCTTGTGAGGGCGAGTTCCAGAGCGTAGCCAGAGTAGTGTATCTAGGCCAGGGGTCGGCAACCTACGGCTCCGGAGCCGCATGCGGCTCTTTACGGGCTGCTTCTTGACGATGAGTACAGTATGTACTCAGATGCATTGCGGCTCTTGAAATACTGAATTTGGTACCGAATTGGAAAGAAATGGCTCTTCTTGTTATTTTGGTTGCCGTCCCCTGATCTAGGCTGTGTACCTAGGCTGTGTACCTAGGCTGTAACAGAGTACCAGGACTGTTGGAGTGCTGTTGGATTGTAATAAAGAAGTTACCTCTACAAGTGTCTCCGGAACCCGTTACACCTGCGCACGCGCGCATGTAGCATTGAAAAATGATAATACTCCGATTGATGCTCCTACTTCTAGATTTGAAGCTTTCGTGAATGCAAGGATTCATATTCTTAGTTTTTTTCGGTAAAGTCACGTAGGTAAAAAATTACAATTAATAAAAGCTAAATAAAAATAAAATAAAAATCACGACGTTTCGGAGGCAAGACAAGCTTCCATCTTCAGGTGGGACCGTCACAGCACGATAGCTGTATCAAGTGAGAGAAATTCCAAGAAAACAGTCCTTGTATATATACTGGTTGGAGCGACTACTTCTCTGGAATCTGCAACCAGGAATTTCCCCACCCACCTATTATTAGTGCTGAACACGTCCTCGGTCCGGTTTCACCTATCACCATCACCGAAGTGGAACAAGCTATCAAGAGAATGAAGAATGGGAAAGCGACTGGCCCGGACGATATCCCTGCTGAGGCCTGGAAGATCCTTGGCAGGCAGGGTGCTGCCCTCCTTACCCAGCTCTTCAGCACCATCACGAGCACCAGTGAGGTCCCAGAAGCCTGGTCGACCAGCACGACGGTTCCAATTTGGAAGGGTAAAGGGGACGTGGCAGAATGCTCGAATTACAGGCCAATCAGGCTCCTGTGTCATGCGATGAAGATCTTTGAGCGAGTTTTGGACACGAGGATTAGAAACATCATCACCCTATCACCCAACCAATGCGGCTTCGTCAAAGGATGTGGCACTACGGACGCCATATTCGCGGCGAGGCTCCTGCTGGAGAGGCACAGAGAGAAGAACAAAGCTGTGCACGTGTCGTTCCTCGACCTTGAAAAGGCATTTGACAGGGTCCCCCACGACCTCATCTGGCACTCGCTTCGATCCCATGGAGTCCCTGAAACCTACGTGCATTGGGTGCAACTCCTATACAAGAACGTCACCAGTGCAGTCAGGTGTGCAGTGGGCATATCACCGCCATTTCCCATCAGCGTTGGAGTGCACCAAGGATCGGCCCTGTCACCACTCCTGTTTATCCTGTGCATGGACACGATCACTGCCGACCTGCACACGCCCCTCCCATGGTCAATTCTCTACGCGGATGACGTCCTCCTCTCAGATGAAGAGAGAGGAGAAGTGGAAAGACAAACGCGCCTGTGGAAGGAACGTTTGGACGAAAACGGGATGAGGTTCAACATCAAAAAGACGGAGTATATGGAGTGTGGCCCCCAAACCGACGGCACCATCAGTATTGACGGAGAAGATCTGAAGAAAGTGACGGACTTTAAGTACCTGGGCTCCACCATCAGCTCAGATGGTAGCATCACGACTGATGTGAGGTCACGAGTCAATGCGGCGTGGATGAAATGGAGGCAAGTCACCGGAGTCCTCTGTGATCGGAAAATGCCGGATAGGCTGAAGGGAAAAATATACAAGACCATCGTCCGACCGGTGGCACTCTATGGATCCGAGTGCTGGCCAGCCACAACTGTACACGAACAAGCTCTCCACACCATGGAGATGAGGATGCTCAGATGGAGCCTCGGGCTCACTCGATGGGATTGTGTCAGGAACGAAGACGTTCGGAAGCGACTTGGTGTGGCCCCCATTGCGGACAAGATGCTTGAGGCAAGGCTTCGGTGGTACGGCCATGTGATGCGAAGTGAAGAGTCATCAGTGGCCAAGACTGCCGTGCGTATTGAGCCAGAGGGCCGCCGTCCACGCGGACGTCCGAAGAAGCGATGGATGGACCGAATAAAGGAAGACATGAAGACGGTCAACGCATCCCCTGAAGATGCCCTGGACCGAGCCAAATGGAGAAGACAATGCCGAAAAGCGGACCCTGCGCCACAGCGGGAACAACGCTAGGAAGAAGAAGTATATATACTGGTTGAGGGTGGGAGGAGCCAAGGTAGGCACCTGAATATTATTATTGTGAGGTTCGGTGCGGCTGAAACACGCTGTTGGGAGTGAGCCTTTGTTGTGTAAACTAGATGCGGATGATGAAAAGGTGCTCCTACTGTTGTGGAGTGACTCATGCAGCCAGCTATGGCTGCAGGGTTTTGGTACTACATGTTGTTCATGTGAAAATTCCGTCACAGTTCCTATGATCACTATTTCATTGCTTTCATGGCTTTATTTTGGTGATTTCGAAAAGTGTATTGGTTTAGCCATGTTTGTTTGTTGTAGTTAGACTGATGGCCTTAATCTAAGTTGTCTTGTTTTTGGTTGTTTGACTGGGATTTTTGCACACAGCGTTGGTGTACAGTGATTTTTTTCTGCAATGTTTTGCTGTCTTTTCTTTGATTTCTGTTTGCACTTAATCACATATTCACTTTAAGATGTTTTTTGTTCATGTTTTTGTTTTTTCTTTGTTGCGGTTGCACCCGATTCAAGAGCCGAATGGCTCACAGGGCTCTCTACCTAATACATGAACTTGAACTTGATTTGTTATGATGCTGATGATGGTGATGATTGCAGCGTTGCCTCGTTATTCGCGAGGGCTGCGTTCCGAAGATGCTCGTGCATGGCAAATTTCGCGGGTGACGATATTCCCGGACAATGAATGACCCTAAAACACGTTCCTTCGGAGTGGGCAGATAGGAACTTGGTTGGACAGCCCATTCGTACACGACAGACAGACAAATAATCCCTGGTGGGCAGTGTGGAACCTGTTGTTCCTACCTGTATAAATACATGAGTAAGATATTAAATACATGAAAATTATCATAACACGAAAAAATGGTTATAATGAACATGGAAGTAAATGCAAAAAAATATTAAACTATTAAGTAATAGTTTATAAATGAACTTACATTCAATCATGATTATACTATGCATCATCACTTTATCTCTCATCACTTTCTCCCCCTCTCTCTCTCGACACAGCAGTCGTGTCGAGAGTTCCAGATGCGTTCCGCGGATTAGCCAAAAATCGCGGACAGCCAAGTTCGTGAATGACAAGGGAATAAATTCGCACCGCCTCTGTGTTGACGTGACCATTTGTGCCCCAACGCATTTATCGCGTGCTCACTATAAACGGGACTTTTCGTCCGTAACTCCGTACGCGTGCGGTGTGGGGGCGATGTCATTGCGACACCCGGGAGAAGCTCCCCGAGTTCTCAAGGCTCATTTTCAGGAGGGTCCTGCCACTTGCATTTGGCATTAGGTGATACTGCTGCTGCTGCTGTACGTGCCATCCCGGCTGAGTAATTTTCGGGCGAATTTTTTTTGGTCGGCATTTTGGGGATGGTTCTGGCGAATTGCCCGGTGATGCTGGATGCAATTACCAGCGAAACGTCGTGCAACTCAAAATTGTAAATGTTGTGGTTTCACGCTTCAACACACCGGTGGGCTAAAGCAGTGAACTATTTGTCTTTTGTCAACGTGACACTTTTTTACTGATTGGCCGTGTCGGGTGGTGGAGGGTTACGACACATTTATAAATAACGCAATCTAAACCCAAAAACGTTGATTATGCATTTTGGGGATGTTTCTACAATGCCGGTTACATTGCGTGCTCCCGGCGGAAACAAACGAGCGAGCAGCAAGTTGCGCTGACGTTGTTATCAGCGGCGTTCACACATTTGCCTTGTCGGTTGAGCAGCGTGGCTCCCTGCTTTGTACGGACAAGAGGGTTTTACGGACGAATAAATAAACATTTTGTTTGATAATTGTTTTTTTACCCTTTTATCTGGCAACAAAACTGACACCTTTTTTACAAGGAGTCATGTTTGCATTGACCACAATACCTGCAGTCGTGATGCAAACAAAAAACATAACTCTGATAATGTACGCACTGTCCTTGAAGTTGATTGGTCCACACCCGAGACAGCTTTCCTTAGAGCCTAGTCTCACATGGTGTTGGACCAGATGACGCCAAAAGGCGCATTGTTTTGTTTTCCCGGACCTCGCAGGGACGGTAGTGCAGATGCAACACTTGTGCCACATGGCAAGAAGGGCCTGGGTTCAATTCCCAACCGGGACCCCTCTCTGTGTGTTCTCTCTCTCCCCTGGTTCGACATCGGTTTTCTCCAGTTTCCTCCTCCCATAGGTTAAAAAAGGAAATAACCACCATACAACATAGCCGGCGTTGCCCAAAACATCCCGATGCTGATGTAAACATGTGCACAATTCTGGGTTCATACATGATAAATTATCAATTGTTACGCAAAAGATAAGCGTAGAAATATATTTTCGCTCGTGAATCGTTGGGTGACCGAATTTTTTTTCTTTTTAGACCTTTTATCAATCCACTGCTGGATGAAGTAACCCCCCTATTCCCCCCCCCCCCCCCACCAACTCCACACCAAGCCATGTCTTATTCATGAATCCCTGCAGTCACAAAAGCTTTAAATCAAAAGCTTCAAATCAAAAAATAACAACAAAGACTGCAGTAACAGCAACAATAAAAAGCAACAATTATAACAGCAACAGCAAAAGCGATAACAATACAAACAACAACAACAACGAACACGATGTCACGATAACAACATTGACAACAACAAAAAATAACAACAACAATAAAAACAACAACAATAACGACGACGACAACAACAGCAACAACACAACAACAACACAACACCGCCGTGAAGGTCACTAGCGACAACAACACAACCTTCCGCTACCCCAACCTTCAAAGGATGCTCATCCTCCCTGTTCCCTCCCCACTACCCCCACTACCCCCCCCCCTCCTCCCACTGATGGGATACAAATTAAGATAGCCGCCCTCTGCAGAAGAGAAACCCACTTCAAACGGCGGCGATCGCATTAAAAAGTCATCGGTATTGGAGGGAAGCTCTCGGTTAGCACCTCGTTATTTTTTTTTTGCCGGATATTAGGGGTGGGGGGCTCTGGTGGTAGGGGGAGGGGCAGTGGAGAGGGTGGGGAGCTGTGGTGGTGGGGGGGGGGCGGTGGTGGTGGGGGGGTGGTTGTGGGGCGGTGGTGGCGGGGGGTGGTGGTGGGGTGAGGGACGGTAGTGGGGGGGGCGGTGGTCATGGGGGGGAGCGGTGGTGGTGGGGGGGGCTGAGAGATGCTCCACATTTATAATCAACGTTCAGAGCATTCGTCTGCTGCTATAAATGTCCACGCGGTGATGATGATAAGCCACTTTCCTTGGGCTTTCATTTACGGCCAAGTCGCTTCTGAAACAAAGAGCTGTGCAGCTTTGGCGGGCCCTTACCTGCTTTAAATACAAATAAATAGTTTTAGTGTTTAGTGAAGTTGAATAAGGCTCGCGGTGCCAGAGCTCGTCCCTAGCGGTACGGCGAATCGGGGTGACTGCCCCGGGCCCCGCGCTTGGGGGGGACAGGAGGTGGGGGGGGGTGCCCACGCTTTGACGCGTCGCGGTGTCAGATGTAATGCTTGCGGTTTAGTTCGAAGAGGCGTTTTGGTGGCGGTGGTGGTTGTGGTGGGGGTTGTCCCACGTGGTGATATCTACCCTCATTCCTAGCAGCGTGCTTCAGCCGCACCGAACCTCACAAAAATAATATCCAGGTGCCTACCTTGGCCCCTCCCACCCTCAACCAGTATATATACAAATACTGTTTCCTGGAATTTCTCTCACTTGATACAGCTATCGTGCTGTGACGGTTCCACCTGAAGACGGAAGCTTGTGTTGCCTCCGAAACGTCGTGATTTTTATTTTATTTTTATTTTACTTTTATTAATTTAAATTTTTCACCTACCTGACTTTACCGAAAAAACCTAAGAATAAGAGATCTACCCCCACCACCACCCCCGACCATAGTTGACTCTGAGATAAATCGAAACGGTTGATTATGTTTGTTGTTTGTTGTTGTTGTCTTGTAGAAGGTGCCATTCACTGTTCAGATAACTCTGGGGCTCATGGCTGTCACACACAAATACAAAGATCCCCGTATAGCCTTCACAGACGGTTGCGGCAAGTACTGTTAGTGAGCAGCACCTATGAAGGCCGGCATGGCACGCGAGGGGGTGAGTGGCCAACACCACGGCCGACCGCCTTTGTCTCCCCGGCGGCGATGCTAACACACCGCACCAGGTAGTCATTTGAGGCTGAGTCGACCTAGGGGGAGGCCCAGGACCGGTTCAAATAAACCTCACCAATGCAGGTGGCCGTGAGCGGCAATCGAACCGTTGTCGCCGTTTCCTCGCAGCGCAGACGCGCTAACCACGCTGCCGCCACTCCTCACGCGCGTACCAAGTTCAAGTTCATGTATTAGGTGTAGCCCTGTGAGCCATTCGGCTCTTGAATCGGGTGCAATCGCAACAAACAAAAAACAAAAACATGAACAAAAAAACATCTTAAAGTGAATATGTGACTGAGTGCAAACAGAAAATCCAAGAAAAGACAGCAAAATATTGCAGAAAAATCACCGTACACTAACGCTGTGTGCAAAAATCCCAGTGGGATGCAAGTCAAACAACCAACAACAACAACCACAAGACAACTTAGATTAAGGCCATCAGTCTAACTCTGTACTACAACAAACAAACATGGCCAAACCAATACACTTTTCGAAAATCACCAAAATAAAGCCATAAAAGTCAAACAACCAACAACAACCACAAGACAACTTAGATTAAGGCCATCAGTCTAACTCTGTACTACAAGAAACAAACATGGCTAAACCAATACACTTTTCGAAATCACCAAAATAAAGCCATGAAAGTCAAACAACAACAACAACCACAAGACAACTTAGATTAAGGCCATCAGTCTAACTCTGTACTACAACAAACAAACATGGCCAAACCAATACACTTTTCGAAAATCACCAAAATAAAGCCATGAAAGCAATGAAAAAGCAATCATAGGAACTGACGGAATTTTCACAATAAACGGCATAAACAACATGTACTACCAAAACCCTGCAGCCATAGCTGGCTGCATGAGTCACTCCACAACAGCAGGAGCATCAATCCAATCAAACACAAACAGGAACCCACCTGCAAGCAGTCCAGGTATCCGCTCCTGGCCTCCACCGCCTCCCCGATGGCTTCCACGTGATGTAGGAGATCGGCCACCGTCACCGCCTGACGCGCAACGAGACGGAACGCGTCGCACCGGCGAGCAAGCGTCAGTGACTCAAAAAGGCGAGCGCACAAATCCATCCGCGCCCTTTGTCTAACCCGACAGACCTGGACTTCACCTGAGGACGGCTGCTTGCGTTGTGGCCGAAACGTCGTGAGAATTGTATTTTATTATACAATTCTCAGGTCTGTCGGAAAGACAGCGTCTGACAGACCTGTTCTTCACCTGAGGACGGCTGCTTGCGTTGTGGCTGAAACGTCGTGAGAATTGTATTTTATGATGTTTTATTTTTTATTATTTTATTACTTCCCTTCTACGTGACTTTACCGAAAGAACCAAGAAGATGAATCCCTGCAGTCACGAAAGCTTTAAATCGAAACTTTTTTTAAATCCTCTATATTAAGTTCGCTTGCTTGCTTGCTTACGACCGTGCAAATCTTTCGGTTGTTTTTTAACCCACTTTCCGTGATCCAATCGAGCTGAGATTTTCCACACAGACTCGTTGTGCGTGACAATTAATGTTCGTGAAATTTTTTTCCCTAAATTTTACACTTTTTAGGACAAAAATATTATATTTAATTACCAATTGCTTAATGGTGCAATGCAATCATCTGACCCATAGGTGGCAGCCATCTCAAGCCAGAGGACGAGAGGACTCTAGCTGCCACGCATATAAAGGATTTATAGTGAAAAACTTTGTTTTTACGGGTTATACTTGTTGTTTGTTACGAAAACTTGTAACGTCCTGTTCCACGAGACCGCGACAGGGGCAGTAACTTCACGCTGACCACACTTCACCGACGCTGGCCAACGGGTTTGGGTCAAGTGGTGCAGTGGGTTGTGTTGGGGAGTGGTAGCGCAGTGGGTTAGCTTGCGCCGCGCTACGAACCCGGGTGCCACCCGAGTTAGACTCTCGCTCAGGGCTAACCATCGGTGGCGATTGTCTGAACTGGTCCCGGGCCTCCGCGAGGTCGACTCAGCCTCAAATGAGTCTCTGGTTGTGTAGTAAACATCGCCCACTGGGGAGACAAAGGCGGCCGGGCGTGGTGCTGGCCACCCACCCACTCGCGTGCCACGCCAGCCTGCATAGGTGCTACTCGCTCACAGCACTTGCCCCAAAAGTCTGTTCAGGCTACGCGGGGGATCTTTGTCTTTTGGTCACGTGGAGGGTTAGAGCCAAGACCGGGAATCGAACTCAGGCCTCAGCTCATAGCACAGCGTGCTACCCACTGCGTCGCCACCGATCGTTTCCACACTGGATAATCGATAACGCGTGCAATTCGATGCACCTGTAATGAGCGCATGAATCTATATCTTTTTTTGACCTTGAATTGCCGTGTACCTGATATTACCATGTATATGACCAAAGACAAAGATCTCCCGTGTAGCCTTAACAGACTGTTGGGGCAAGTGCTGTTAGCGAGCACCTATGAAGGCCGAAACGGCACACGAGGTGGTGGGTGGTCAGCACCACGCCCGGCCGCCTTTGTCTTCCAAGGGGCGATGTTTTTACACACCGCACCAGGTACTCATTTGAGGCTGAGTCGAACTAGGGGAGGTCCTAGAACCTGTTCAGATCATCGTCAGCAGTGTTGGCCGTGAGCGGCAATCGAACTCGGGTCGCCGGGTTCGTAGCGCAGCGTAGCGCTAACCGCTGCACCACCGCTCCCCACCTTGAAATGCCTTGTACCTGGTATTAACATTTATATGACCACCACCACCACACCCCGGCATTACTACGGACAGCACTGCATGTGCTTCATCTTAGAGGTGGCCACATGATAATTTAAATATTAATGCTTTCCACGAGTCGCTTGGTGTTTAAGGATTCCGCGCGGATGCTCGGGTCAGCGTGTGCATGCATGCGTGCGTGTGTGTGAGTGGGTGTGAGTGCGTGTGTGTGTGTGAGTGCGTGTGTGCGTGCGTGTGTGTGTGTGCGTGCGTGTGTGAGTGCGTGTGTGTGTGCATGCGTGCGTATGGTCTGAGTGCGTGCATGTGTGTGTGCGTGCGTGTGTGAGTGCGTGTGTGTGCATGCGTGCGTGTGTGTGTGCATGTGTGCGTGTGTGAGTGCGTGTGCGTGCATGCGTGCGTGCGTGTGTGTGAGTGCGTGTGCGTACATGCGTGCGTGTGCATGTGTGAGTGCGTGTGCGTGCATGCGTGTGTGAGTGCGTGTGCGTGCATGCGTGCGTGTGCGTGTGTGAGTGCGTGTGCGTGCATGCGTGCGTGTGCGTGTGTGAGTGCGTGTGTGTGAGTGCGTGTGCGTGCATGTGTGTGTGCGTGTGTGAGTGCGTGTGTGTGAGTGCGTGTGTGTGCATGTGTGAGTGCGTGTGCGTACATGTGCATGTGCGTGCGTGTGTAAGTGCGTGTGTGTGAGTGCGTGTGCGTGCATGCGTGCGTGTGCGTGCGTGTGTGTGAGTGCGTGTGCGTACATGCGTGCGTGTGTATGCGTGTGTGAGTCCCTGTGGTAGTGCAGCGGTTAGCGCCGCGCTGCGCTTACGAACCTTGCGAGCCGGGTTTGATTCGTGCTCACGGCCAACACCGGTGACGATTATCTGAACCGGTCCTGGGCCTCCTCTAGGTCGACTCAGCCTCAAATTAGTACCTGTGCGGTGTGTAGTAAACATCGCCACTGGGGAGACAAAGGCGGCCGGGCGTGGTGCTGGCCACCCACCCCCTCGTGTGCTGTGCCGGCCTTCACAGGTGCTGCTAATCGCTCACAGCACTGGCGACCGCATGCAAGTCAAACTGATATTGTTAACTCTCAGAGCTGGAATTTAGGCACATCAAGTGCACAATTGGTGGTGACTGGGCCTGAGACCATAAACTCACGACAGTTGAGAATCATATCTAATCACAACTCAGTCTATGTGAGTCTATGGGTCTCTGTGTGAGTCTATGGGTCTCTGTGTGAGTCTATGGGTCTCTGTGTGAGCCTATGGGTTTTTGTGTGAGTATGGGTCTATGTAAGTCTGGGTCTATGTGAGTCTGGGTGTATGAGAGTCTGGGTCTATGAGAGTCTATGGGTCTGTTTAAGTCTATGGGTCTCTGTGTGAGTCTATGGGTCTCTGTCTGAGTCTGGGTCTATGTGAGTCTGGGTGTATGAGAGTCTGGGTCTATGAGAGTCTATGGGTCTGTATAAGTCTATGGGTCTCTGTGTGAGTCTATGGGTCTCTGTCTTAGTCTATGGGTCTCTGTGTGAGTCTATGGGTCTGTATGAGTCTATGGGTCTCTGTGTGAGTCTATGGGTCTGTCTGAGTCTATGGGTCTCTGTCTGAGTCTATGGGTCTCTGTGTGAGTCTACGTCTATGAGAGTCTGGGTCTATGAGGGTTTATGGGTCTGTATTAGTCTATGGGTCTCTGTGTGAGTCTATGGGTCTGTCTGAGTCTATGGGTCTCTGTGTGAGTCTAAGGGTCTCTGTCTGAGTCTATGGGTCTCTTTGTGAGTCTATGGGTATCTGTGTGAGCCTATGGGTCTCTGTGTGAGTCTGGTTCTACGAGAGTCTATGGGTCTGTAAGAGTCTATGGGTCTGTGTGAGTCTATGGGTCTGTATGAGTCTATGGGTCTGTATGAGTCTATGGGTCTCTGTATGAGTCTATGGGTCTGTATGAGTCTATGGGTCTCTGTCTGAGTCTATGGGTCTCTGTCTTAGTCTATGAGTCTCTGTCTGAGTCTATGGGTCTCTGTCTGAGTCTATGGGTCTCTGTGTGAGTCTATGGGTCTCTGTCTGAGTCTGGGTCTATGTGAGTCTGGGTGTATGAGAGTCTGGGTCTATGAGAGTCTATGGGTCTGTATGAGTCTATGGGTCTGTATGAGTCTATGGGTCTGTATGAGTCTATGGGTCTCTGTATGAGTTTATGGGTCTCTGTCTGAGTCTATGGGTCTCTGTCTGAGTCTATGGGTCTCTGTGTGAGTCTATGGGTCTGTATGAGTCTATGGGTCTGTATTAGTCTATGGGTCTCTGTGTGAGTCTATGGGTCTCTGTATGAGTCTATGGGTCTGTATTAGTCTATGGGTCTGTATGAGTCTATGGGTCTCTGTGTGAGTCTATGGGTCTCTGTGTGAGTCTATGGGTCTGTCTGAGTCTATGGGTCTCTGTCTGAGTCTATGGGTCTGTCTGAGTCTATGGGTCTCTGTATGAGTCTATGGGTCTGTATGAGTCTATGGGTCTATTTGTGAGTCTATGGGTCTCTGTGTGAGTCTATGGGTCTCTGTCTGAGTCTATGGGTCTCTGTCCGAGTCTATGGGTCTCTGTGTGAGTCTATGGGTCTGTATGAGTCTATGGGTCTCTTTGTGAGTCTATGGGTCTCTGTGTGAGTCTATGGGTCTCTGTGTGAGTCTATGGGTCTGTATGAGTCTATGGGTCTCTGTCTGAGTCTATGGGTCTCTGTGTGAGTCTATTGGTCTCTGTGTGAGTCTATGGGTCTGTCTGAGTCTATGGGTCTCTGTGTGAGTCTATGGGTCTCTGTCTGAGTCTATGGGTCTCTGTGTGAGTCTATGGGTCTCTGTCTGAGTCTATTGGTCTCTGTGTGAGTCTATGGGTCTCCGTGTGAGTCTATTGGTCTCTGTGTGAGTCTATGGGTCTCTGTGTGAGTCTATGGGTCTGGCTGAGTCTATGGGTCTCTGTGTGAGTCTATGGGTCTCTGTGTGAGTCACTGGTCACCAGGCCGAGACGATCAACCCACGACACAAGACAACCCGGTTTCACCACAGACAGCGGCTGGAACCCGGATCGGAACCCAGCCTCTCAGCGGTGCCTGATCAGCGTCTCTGACCTCTAAGCTACCCAGCCACCTCTGATGATTGTATTTTTTTTTAGCGCGCTATTTGGGTGTTATCACTGATGGTATCCTGACTGAGTCGCCTTTCTGTCTGCAGCTGTCACGGTCTGGCAGTGTGTCAGCTACCGATCAAGAAATAGCCTGCGGGTCTTCGTAATTCACCCTTACATTTTGATACTGTATAAGTTAAATATATATATTTTCAGGGGATAATATTTGACAT